AAAATATGCTCTTAAAATACTACTCACACAGAAATGCATCAATAATAGTCATCCAAAAATAATGCAAAACAATGATATTAAATAACACAATAACCATATAATATACAATGTGTACTTTTGTGGATCTACTTTGCTGATAATACCTCTGTAGTTTTTCTTTTATAAAAGTTTGAAAGGAGGGCCTTTACTTGTAATGCAATATTTTAAAATTCTGATTAGTGTGTTTACTTAAGCAAACTATACTTCTTTCCTCACTGTAAAGTAGCAGCAGCAAAATGTCTCTATTAAAATGTCTCTTTTAAATTTACTGCTTTACTAACATGTCAACACTATAAAACTGGTATTACTACTATTTTCTACTTCCACACTGTACTCGAGGGCTTTATTAAACACTTGATAGAAGGCAGGTTTTCTGATTGACAGTGTGTTTTGTTGGATGTGATACTGGACAAAGCCTGGAAAAGCTTCTGGGGTCAGATGTGCAGCGCTTGTGTGTCAGACTGATGAAGTGTGGCAGAGGAGGCGGACAAATGGAGAGACAGGCCACTCACTGCTTGAGGATAATCCTGTCTGATATGCTGAGGAGCAAAACAGCTGATTTGCACATTTCTGCATCGCAATGAAACGACCCTGAAATGACACAATGAGCAGCAGACAGCCAGACAGACAGACAGACAGACAGACAGACAGACAGAGTCCTCGGGGTGACTTGAGGAGACTGCTGAGGAGTAGGAATATGTTTACTGCAGAGAGAGCACTGCATAATCCAGATATCATAGATCCCTGCCTCCTCCAAGTTAATTGATGGGACACAAAACTCAAAGGTCAAAGTTCAAGACAAATACATTTTTCTCAAGATGGTTTCTGACATTTTAGGTGGTTGTTGATGTTTGTTGTGTTCATTTTTCCAGTAAATTCTGTCTGAAGTAGTTATTTGATGCGAGGTGAAACGTCACAATTGGTCAAGCATGTGGCTCCATCCCCTGACCTCTACTGTGCAGACTCTGGCTCCAAATGTACAAGATGCTTGTGTTTGTATGCCATAGATTTTGGCTTCATTTGTGGATAGTGGGAAGAAGTGGGGACATATAAAAACAAACTTATTTGACTTGTTATGTCAGTATTGCAGCGGACCATGAAAATGTTTCTTTATTTGCGCATAGTTAAGCCAGAGTTCTAATGATAAAAATAACTTTATTTGTATTGCACTTTTTTAAACAAGCATACAAAGTGCTTTACACAAAAAAAACTATGGCTAAACTAAAGAATCAACACGTCACTGGATATCCTGTGGATCCTGTCAGTCTAGCATCACGTTTTCCCACATGATGCAAAGGGCAATTAAATCTTAAGCCACAACCATCCAACCATGTTTTCATAAACAGCATTCAAGCAGAGGCACACCTTCCACAAACAAAGAGCAGAAACAAATACCTCAACTGGAGGAACAGATAATATAGTGGAAGGACAACTATTATTATCCTCCGGTGGACAGCAAGCCGTTTTCTGGTAACATTTTTGTGGTGAAAGCCCAAATTATCCCACACAATAAGAAAGGTTGGCATCTTGTGTTTTACATGTCTCATTCTCATGAAAAAGATCATTGTAGACAATAATGTCGGTATAGTTTCTGGGTGGGAACATGTGTACTCACACCAGCAACATAATCACTTTTGATCAGAATATATACCCAATTTGTAGTATAGCAAATTGCTGACAGATTTTTTTATAAATGTGCTAATATATGTGCATTTTGTTTAAAGATAGACTTTGTTACTAGTTGTTTGGAGGTCTGCACGTGTTGCAGTTGACTGTAATGATCATTTATCACCACATACAACAAACAAATTATTTATAATATCACATCACTTTTTTGATTATATTATTCTGTTGCATTTTTGGATGAATGCAGAGGCAAAACAAGATTGTGGAGATGTTTTATTCTCCGGCTGTAAGAAGAACAGAAAAGATCTCTGATAAAACTAACAGGTCTGCACCACATGCTGGTGGAATTGGGAACTACAAAATACCATTTTCATAAGATAATGTTTATGAATTGTCCAATTTTAAGATAGCACCAACTGGAACACAATGGCATGGCATATGATTGGTCTGTGTTAGTTATAACATTAATATTTAGTGCTATAGATTCAAGTAACATTGTATGAAGATGCTGACTGTTCTGATGCTCAAACATTTGCTATACCTGGTACTCACTCTCACTTAAACTCATTATTTAATATTAAATATGCTAAAATTG